ACTCATCTTATTTGAGGACTGAGCATCAAGCTTGAAGCATCCCTGCAGCTGCCTTAGTGGGCCCTGTCCTCCCATCCCAAAACCTCCAAGAAAAAGGTGGTCTCTGTGCTGGGGAGGGGGTGAGGAAGAAGGCCAAATGAAGAGTGGGGGGAAAAATAGAATTAACACTTAAGAATGGAATAAAAGGGGGAAAAAGCTGTATTGAAGTAAAGAAGGGGCAGAGGGAGCCCGTGAGCTGAGTGGGCCAGGGACTGGGAGAAGGAGTGAGGAGGCAGGGCCGGCGTGCCTCTGCTGCTGGCCAGAGCTCTTTTCACATTGTGCTACTGTCTGCACCTGTCACTAGCAGTGCAATGTTAAAAGGGCATTGGCCGTGTAGTGCTACCCAGCGCTGGCTGCCTCCTCAGCATTGCAGTTTCCTCTCCCATCTGGGCACCAATCAGCTACCCTGGTGGGAATCTGGGAAGCCTCACTTAGTATTCTACGAATAGCTCGCATTTATGGAGCTACTTCTGTGTGCAGTGCTTGTGATAAGACACTGCCTCTGTAACTGTGAGCCCTAATAACTTCTTACGAGGTAACAGCCCCATTTTCTGGATGAAAAAACTGAGGGCCAGAAGGGTTTAAACAGTTTGGCCAAGATTGTGTAGCTCTTCGGGTTGCAAAGCCAAGACAACCCTGTCTTCAGTGTTGACGGCTTACTCATCTTTCTGTAGACCCATCTAGAGAGATCTGAGTAGGTTCTTTAAACTGGGAGAGTGCCTGAGCTGAGGGGGTGGAAGGTTTTGATGCCATCTGCTGGTTGTACGAGGGTATCTTCCAGAGCCTAAAGCTTTTAAGGACTAAAAGTGGTGGCAGCCCTTAGGCTAAGAAGGCCAAGGGTTCCCAGACTCATCCTGGGATGGAAAGTGAGTGGGAAAAGATTAGGAGAATCATTATTAGTACAGAGTAGGCCTCCTTGAGAGAGAGAGAGAGAGAAATAAAGGAATGCACCAGAAAGGAAAAGGGGTTAACTCGAAAGGACTGCTTCCCAAAGAAAAGAACCTGTGTGCTCCTGGCATCCCATACCTGCAGCTCCTTCCCTGAATCCACTTGCCTTTCTCAGCACCACTCCCTCTTGGTCACGGGATGTTTGGTAATAATGCTGCTTGAGGCCAGTGGTGGTGGCTCACACCTGTAATGCCAGCACTTTGGGAGGCCGAGGCAGGATTACCTGAGGTCAGGAGTTACCCTCATGGAGAAACCCTGTCTCTACTAAAAATACAAAAAATTAGCCTGGTGTGGTAGCACATGCCTATAATCCCAGCTACTCAGGAGCCAGAGTTGCAGTGAGCTGAGATCGCACCATTGCACTCCAACCTGGGCAACAAGACCAAAACTACATCTCAAAAAATAATAATAAAATAACTTTAAAAAATAATGTTGCTTGAGGGCACACCTGTCTGGGCAAACAAGATTTGGACAGCATTGCCCATGATGTAATCTTAGAGACTAACAGGATTCATCGAATCAACCCACAGAATGATTGTTCCAGGACTGATTACAAAGAATTTGAGGCCGGTCGCAGTGGTTCACTCCTGTAATCCTAACACTTTGGGAGGCTGAGGCAGACTGATCACCTGAGGTCAAGAGTTCAAGACCAGCCTGGCCAACATGGTGAAACTCCGCCTCTACTGAAAAAATTAGCCGGTGCACCTGTAGGCTCAGCTACTCTGGAGGCTGAGGCAGGAGAAGCACTCAAATGAATCTGGGAGGCAGAGGTTGCAGTGAGCTGAGATTGTGCCACTGTACTCCAGCCTGGGCAACAGAGCTATACTCTCAATTAAAAAAAAAAAAGAATTTGAGAACAATTCTGCCATTTACTTCTCCATCTCCCACAGCACCTAGTAGCCTTAATGAGAACTTGTTAAAATAAATTGAACAGGAGGAATATTCGGGGAGCTTCTTAAAGAAGGCAGCTAATTTGTGCCTGATTTTCAAGAGCAGAGTTTGGGACTTGAGAAATCTTCCTAAACTTTGGTGCAAGAAGTGGGTCCAAGAGGGATAGGGTTTTGGAGTCCTCTGCTGGACCCTAAGAGGGATCTTGGCATCACTAGGCATGAAGAAACTGAACGTTGGGTCACACTCCTCTGATGCCTCAGCTGGTGGATGCTGGACGTCATTTCTCCGTGACTTGCCTTTTTCCCTTGTCCTTTCACCTCTGTGCCTTCCAGTTCTAGTAATTCTTTCTCCTACCCAGACAGCCTCTCTGTTCTGATCACAACAATAGTATTTGAGTTGGTACAGTTAGCTTTATGTCCTTTACTTTTTTTTTCTTTAAGATGGAGTCTCACCGTTGCCCAGGCTGGAGTGCAGTGGCGTGATCTCGGCTCATTGCAACCTCAGCCTCCCCATTTCAAATGATTCTCCTGCTTCTGCCTACTGAGCAGGTGGGATTATAGGTGCGCACCACCACGCCTGGCTAATTTTTGTTGCCCAAGCTTGTCTGAAACTCTTGGCCTTGAGTGATCCACCCACTCCAGCCTCCCATAGTGCTGGGATTACAGGTGTGAGCCACAGCACCTGGCCATATGTTCCTTACTTTATCCAGTCTATTAAAATTTCTATTTGAGCCTCTTGTCTAGGCACAAATAGCCATTTGATAATGCCACTCCACCCTAAAAAACAATTTTTCCATATTTCCCTAATACTATTGGGATGAAATCCAGATTCCCTAAATAGTTTATGGCTCCTGCTTGTCTTTCCTTTCATCTCATCTCTCACCCACTTAATATCTATACTCCAGCCATAGGAAACTTTTTTTTTTTTTGAGATGGGACGGGTTTTACTCGCCCAGTCTGGAGTGCAATGGTGCAATCTCAGCTCACTGCAACTTCCGCCTCCCGGATTCAAGGGATTCTCCTGCCTCAGCCTCCCAAGTAGCTGGGATTATAGGCACCCGCGACCATGCCCAGCTAGTTTTTTTATTTTTTTTATTATTTTTTTTTTTTTTAGTAGAGACGGGGGTTTCACCATGTTGGTCAGGCTGGTCTCGAACTCCTGACCTCAGGTAATTCACCTGCCTCGGCCTCCCAAAGTCCTGGATTACAGGTGTGAGCCACCATGCCCAGTCAAGAAACATTTTTTTAAGACAAGGTGGCCGGGCGCGGTGGCTCACGCCTACTATCCCAGCACTTTGGGAGGCCGAGGCAGGTGGATCACGAGGTCAAGAGTTCGAGACCATCCTGGTCAACATGATGAAACCCCATCTCTACTAAAAATACAAAAATTAGCTGGGCATGGTGATGCATGCCTGTAGTCCCAGCTACTTGGGAGGCTGGGGCAGGAGAATTGCTTGAACCCAGAAGGCAGAGGTTGTGGTGAGCGGAGATCGCGCCATTGCACTCCAGTCTGGGTAAAACCAGCGAAACATCGTCTCAAAAAAAGAAAGACAGGGTTTTGCTCTGTCACCCAGGCTGGAGTGCAGTGGTGTGATCATGGCTCACTGCAACCTCAGCCTCCTGAGCAGTTGGGACTACAGGTGCAGGTATGGCTTTTTTTTTTGAAACAAGATTTTGCTATGTTGCCCAGGCTAGCCTCAAACTTGGGCCTCAAGCAAGCTACAGCCTCGGCTTCCTAAAGTGCTGAAATTATAGGCATGAGTCACTGCTTTCAGCCCACAAGAAACTTACTTCCTCCAACTAAACTTCAGTTACTTGACACATACAGTTCCCTCTGAAATACCTCCGGCACTCTTGCCCTTTGCCTACCCGACTTCTCATCTTTCAGATGCCATCACAGTCATCACTTCTGTGAAGCCTTCCTTGACTCCTCAATTCTAGGCTGAGTTCTTTTCCTATGAGCTCCCAAGCTTCCTCTACGTCCCTGCTCAGAGCCCTTATCATCATCTTCTACTGGGATTGCCTGGTTATTGCATCTCTTCCTAGTAGACAGAAAGATTCAGCCCACAGGTGCCTCATCTTCACCCTGTGCTTAACATCCAGTGCTTCACACAATGCCTGGCAAGTAATAGGTGCTTTATAAATATTTGGAATATTAATGAATTTGGAAATAATATAGTTTACCAAAAACAAATGATCTTTATGATGTATATGGTCTCCCCTGTAACTGTTAGGCACCCGACAACAGTAGGGATTTCATATCACTGCCAATTAAATGCCCCTTGGGTCACATGGTAGCATTGATGTGCATTGATGCTGCAATTTTGAGCTGCTTTCTTTTTTCTTTTTCTTTTTTTGAGATGGAGTTTCACTGTTGTTGCCCAGACTGGAGTACAATGGTGCGATCTCAGCTCATTGCAACCTCCACGTCTTAGGTTCAAGCGATTCTCCTGTCTCACTCCAAAGTAGTTGGGATTACAGGCACCCACTATCATGCCCAGCTAATTTTTGTATATTTAGTAGAGACAGGGTTTTGCCATGTTGGCCAAGCTGGTCTCAAACTCCTGACCTCAAGTGATCCACCAGCCTTGGCCTCCCAAAGTGCTGGAATTACAGGCGTGAGCCACCGCGCCCAGCCTAATTTTTGAGCTATTTTGTTTCACTTCCCGTCAACTGCCAGGGTAGCACTTTGGCTGATTGGTTTTCCTTTTAGCCTTAAGTGTGTCCATGAGCTGACCAGAACGTTACAAAACCAGGCTGAAAAAAGCCTTGGGACTCGAGAAAATCCTTATTCTGAGATGAACCTCTTTCAGTTGCCTAATCCTGGATCTAGGCAAAAATGAACTTACTGTCAGGGATGCTAACAGACACAAGTGGTTTGGGATGCTCTAGCTGGAAGAGCTCACAAAACCCACCCCTCTTACTAGGCGAAACCTCACTTCAACGCTTATCTCCTGGTCAAAGCTCAAGCGGCAGTCTTTCTGTGGACGAGGCAACTGCTGCCCCCTCGTGGTTTAAAGGGACAGGCCCGGGTGAGTGGGTGGGGAGGGTGGGTGTGTGTGTGTGTGACGGGGGTAGTTTATGGCACATGCACTGGGAAAGAAAGTCAGAGGACAGGTGGCCTCCAGTTGCTTTTTCCCTTTTTATTAAAAATAGACCCAAGCACTTTATGTATCATACAAAAGTTTCATTCGCTGGTGGCAGCCACGGGAAAGACTTGCCCCGTAGCACTGATTTTCCACCTCCCCTCCAGGGGACTGGGTCCCAGGAGCAGTGACTGGGCCTCAGAAAGCCCATAAAGACTGCTTGCTCTGGAAGCAGCTGACTGTGGGTGGGGGGCTATTCCGGGTGCCGCTGTCCTCACCCCACCCAATGGCAAAAGTTAGATACTCGAAAGTGCCTCTTCAGTGCCAAGATAGACTAACAAGCGGAGTGAAATGGAAACCCCTTTGATCCTTGTACTATTTCCCAGGGCCTGAGATTTGAGTTTTCCCTGCATCCCTGAGCCCTTTCCCCTATAAATAGGGGTGGGAAACTTCGTTCTTAGAGACTCTGGTCTCTCCTGGCGTCAGAGACCAAAATTTCACTCCAACCCAAGCCTTTTCTCCTCTGCTATTCTGTGGCCCACTATCTACTACTAGCCCTATGACCCAAGGCTGTCCTCTGCTCACGCAAAAAGAGGTGGGGCAAAAACGGATTCCTCCCACAATCCTCTCTGCTTGAATCTACACCCTGCCTTTGCCTCCATTTTCAGGATCTTGGGAACAGAAGGACCCACAACTATCCCCTTCCCCCAGTTTTGTCTCTCCCTGACTGCTGCCCACTCCTGAGCCTTAACACCCCTGGGATACCCCCAGACCCCTGTTCCAAAGGGTGCCTGGTAGTGGATATGGTGGAGGCAGGGGAGGGGTTGGTTGGAGCCAGGTTTCCCCCAGGGGTGGGCAGTACTCATGCTGGTATGGACTGCTTGGCAAGGCCATGGGGAGGGAGGGGCATGCGGAGGAAGGGCACACCCTGCCTGAGCCCCTCAGTCCCAGCCGTTGTCCTTCACCATGTGTGACATTTCAATGATGTATTTCCCTTCCTTGTACTTCTGGCTCGTCTCAAAAGCTTGTTCCTGGGGGAGGAGAAAGCAGCGATTGTAGGACAAGGCAGTTTCCTTCCAGGCCCCACTACCACCACACGGGTCCCCACCTCAAGGGTCCTCCACTAGCCCAACCCAGTGACTAGCTCTTATTTTCCTCTTTGGACCATCCAAGGACCTGATGTGGTCACTGGGGCTTGGAGGGCCACAGGGACTGCCACTTTAGAGGGTGACCCTCTTCCAGAGGTACTTACATATTTCCAGCCCAGTGTGGTTTTGCAGCTCTCACAGAAAATGTCAGCTACCGAGTGGAGCCCCGTGAGCAAGAGGCGCTGTTCAGCCGGCCCACAACCCACGTTGACCCTGTCTCAGGAAACAGGAAGGACCCAGCACCCAGTGGGGTTGCCCTGTCAGTCCAGTTCCCAGACAGCCCAAAGGAACTTCCATCTGTAGAGAACTGGACAGACCCTGCCTTTGATAATCCACCCCTTTAAGCCTAGAACCTGGGCCTTCTTTTTCCAACTTTAGGATTTCAATGCCTCCCAGGCTTCCCATAAGAGAACTTCAGACTGAACCCCTTTGCTAAAGGGGAGGCAAAGACTGAAGGCACAAGATCCCCTGATGGCTCCCCCCTTTCTCCGCAGAGGGAAATTACTCACTCACACATAAGCACACGCACAAGGGAAGAGGTAGACTCACACGGAGTTAAACAGGTAGGCTCGGCCATGGCTCCCTTGGAAGGACTGTGGAGACACAGGACAGACAGTGACTACCAAGCAGCCCTCAGCCCCACTGCATGAATCCCAGCAGTGGCGTGGGGGAGAGAAGAGCTTTGCCACCGCACCCCTGGGTGATTATCAGGTTAGCCTGGTGCTCGAGAAGAGGGAATGGCAGGCCCCCACTTAGCGTACCTTGGAAATAAGCTCATCGTGTTTGGCCAGGTGTGCACGGCAGTGGACGCAGCTGTAAGTTCGGTGACAGCGGGGCAGGTAGCTGCGGAAAGTCTTGGTGGGGAGGCAGGCAGGGCCCGGACCAGGGTCACAGCTGGGCATGACGGGCTGGAGGACAATGCCCTGGCGGGCTGGAGGGGCTGGCGCTGTGCAGCCCCCACAGAGACGGTCGCAGGTGAAGCAGCGGAGCAGGTTGGCTAGAGCCGTGTTTCAGGGCAGGAGAAATGTTGGGGGGCTGCCCGGCCAGGGCCCCCCCAGACGAGAACCAGATAGAAATAGAAGTCACCTGGGAAGAGGGAAAGGTACTTCAGGGGAGCTGTGACCTCATGCGGACCCGTCCAGAGGGACTGGAGGAAAAGGGGCTCAGCTCCCCCATACCTCTAAGTCCCCCATTGCCATCGACCCCCCCCTTGGCATCCAGTTGCATTGTTGCCCTGTCCCCTGGATCCCCATTCTGTTCTGGCAAACCTGGCAGCTGGTTCAGCCTTCTGGCGCCAAAGCCAGGGATTCAGTGTTTCTCCCTCCAGGGGCAGAAGCAGCCTCCACCATTTTCCACAGAGAGCAGCCCATGGGCACAAACGCTGCCATGGGAGCAACGTCATCTGCCAGTGGCCTCTCCTTGCTTTTCAGTTCTTCGTGAGGCTCTTCGTCGCACCGGCATCGGTAGGCACCGCGTCTCGGGATCAGAGCCTTTTAAGAGTTGGGGATGCCTGAAGGTCTTTCTTTTCCTTGGCCTTCGTTTACAATACAATCGGTCCTTTATACGTTGTGTGGCGGAGGCTAGGGTAAGTTGAGGGAGGAGGAGCATGCAGGCAGGTATACAAACCCTAATTCAGCTCTCTCCCAAGGTCAGGATCCTGCACTCTGGGACTCTTCACTAGAACTTTACAGATGTTTCCAACAGTCCCAAAGACCTCACATGTGGCCGCCAGTTCCCACACCTTAGTTCATTCATTCTGGCCCAGAATAAGCACTTGACCATCTTCCCAGCCTCTGGGCCCCTAGGTCTTTCTCCTATTCTTTACTAACTGTGGCCTTAGCCCTTGATTAAAGACTTAGGCAGAAAATACATTTCCTTCAGGCAATCTGACAGCTGGAGCCAATGGAAAACGAGTAGCGTGTCGGCGAAGCCTGATTCCTGGGCTGGGCAGGGCTGTGTGATAGTGTGAGAGCAAAGGCCACAACCAGCGGCAGAAGGGGGACCCTTAAACAGCTGCGCTTTGGGGCATGAGGCAGAAAATGTTTCTTTCTACCTTCTCCCCGAGGCAGGGACAAAAAGCAATGACTCTGTGGGTGACTGAAGATGAAGTAATTGCTGGGTTCTGATTAGGAATCTTGAGGAAGATTGCGTTCTGCCCACACACCAGCCTCCGAGTGGCTGAGGGTGCTGGAGGCAGAGGATAAGGAGGGAGGTTGCCCCTGTCGGCTCTGATAAGCAGGTGAGCTGCTGCTTTCTCCGTGGGGCTTCCCAGCCCGCTGTGGCTGGTTAGCCTAAGTCTGGTTCAGAGATGCCAGCTGGGCGCTCTGGCAATGCCGGAGCTGAGCAGAGAAGAGGCAGCGTTGGCTCCGGTTAGCCAGAGCATACAGGCTCTCCTCGTCCTGTCCTCTGCAGTGGCACAAGCACCCAGCTGTTTCTCTCTCTCTGAAGGCTGCCAGGCAGTCTCTCCGCAAAACCTCCATAGAGACTATCTTCAGCTCCAGGTTCTTTCCTCCTGGCTGGGCCCCAGGAAGACACCTTGGGCAGAGTTCGGGGTGACATTGGGCTCCAGCTGCAGCAAACAGGCCCTCCTTGCCAGGAGACCACCCCTTCAGTCTCTTCTTCACAGGTCTGCCTCCAACTTTGCCTGCGGGTTCCCCTCTGACACGCACCACCTTGAAATACCTTCTTCAAGGGGCATGGGGAACCGGGCAGCGCGGGTCCCCAAGCTTGGACTCCTTCTCCAGCCTCCAGCCGTCACGCCTCCCTCCCTCTCCCCTACTTCCCAGTCGAGCCAAGGAGAGGCTGCGCAGAAGGCCAGAGAATCACAGAAAGGGGAGTAGGGGTCATTTTCTCGTCCGTCTCAGATCATAGAGAGAAGCAAGTTGGGCAAATGACTGGAGAAAAAACAAAGGCAAGCCGAGGCCTGGGGAGAGGATGTTCCCCTGAAATGAGACGGGGCTGGACCGTGGGAGGAAGGGGAGAGGGAGGGCTGGCGGGGGCAACTGACAGCTGACAGCAGAGACACCGAGGCGGAGGCTGGAGGAACCAGGTGCGAATCTCGTGCCTCCCGGAAGGGCGGGGGATGGGGAAGGGAGGGGGACACCTGCTCACAATGGATTTTCTCATCTGCTCTGAGGTTTTGGCACCCCCCAGGCTGGTATTCTCAGTATGGTATGGTCCAGATAATTAGCAGCACCGCCAGCTCCCAGGGCGGGTTTTGGGGGTCTGCACCAGCAGCAAAACAATAAACAGTGATGCCTGATGGTGCAGCCAGAGTTGCGGAGAAATAAGTGCGGGAATCGTCAGCGCTTGGAGAGAGCTTGGAGAGGGATGAAGGAACCGAGAGAGAGGAGTGGAGGCAGCGGGGAGGGGGGAAGGGAGGACAAAGGGTGGATGAATAATGCTTTTGCAAAGGGGAGAAAGCAACACGCAGCAGGAGGAGGAAATTTGCAAAAGGAAAAAAAATTCATTTGGAGAAGGGCTGCCCCCTCACCTTGAGGTCTGCTCCAGAGATCTCCGTCTATCTCTCTCTCTCTCAATCTCTCAATCTCTCTGCTCACTCTTCTCTCTTCTCTTTCCGCTCCTTCAATTGGGAAGGGGATGGGGACAGGTGGGGGGAGGGTAGTTGGGGGCTCAAGACTGGGCTGCAAAGCTGGCCAGCTGCTGGGGGGGCAGAGGTTGTCTCTCGTTCTGTACCTCGGTCTGTGGGTGAATGTGGCTGTGTGTTGTGGAACTGCATCATAACACTGTGAGTCATCCATCCCCCCACCCCCCCTCACCTCCCACGTCAGAGCAGGGCTGGGAGACACAGGAGGCGGGTCGGAAGGAAGGGAGGGAGGGGGCAGGCTTCAAGGGATGGGGCTAGAGGAGTGCTGACAGAGGGATGTGGCTTCGATGGTGGGCAAGGGGAGAGGCAGGTTGTTAGGGAGGAAGGCAGTGTGGCCAAGGAGATAGGAAGAACCTGGGGGGAGGACGGGGCTGGGCAAGGATGCAGGGAGGGAGGCAGGGCTGGAGGAAAGGAGGTGGCAAGGCTGGCGAAGCAAGAGATGGATGCAGAGGGAGGCAGCACACACACATTTAAGATGATACACTTTCCCATTTCATCTTGGACACCAGCCCCGAAGCAGGGAAAAGACAGATGTACTAATTGTCGTGGACGGCAAACTGTGCCCCCAAACTTGTAGCAAGCCTCAAAGCTTCGGTTTAATACTCTTAAAGGAGTCATAGACCCAATGTGACATTTTACATGCAGAAACCTCTTATTGGCTACCTCCAAATTATGAGTGCTTCATGAATGGAGACACCTACATTATATGAAGTTCTCTTCTGGGCTGTAAACTTTCTGAGACAGGTCTTCTGGGAAATCACTCTCTACATTCCAGGACTGCAATGCCTACTACAGACCCTTGCATGTACATGTTTCCAAAACAGCAGTTCTTCCCACGACATTATTTTCTGCTGGCCTAGAGGTCTTAGTTCCAGAGGGAGGAACGCTGCCACCGGGAGACACAACAACGATTCCATTAAACTGGAAGTTAGGATTGCCACTTGGATACTTTGGGCTCTTCTTACTTTAAGTCAACAGGCTAGTAAGGGAATTACAGTGTTGGTTGGGGTGACTGACCCAGACTGTCAAGATGAAATCAGTCTACTACTCCACAATGGAGGTAAGGAAGAGCATGCGTGGAATACAGGAGATCCATTAAGGTGTCTCTTAGTATTACCATGCCCTGTGAGTAAGGTCAATGGAAACTACAACAGCCCAATCCAGGCAGGACTGCAAACGACCCAGACCCTTCAGGAATGAAGGTTTGGGTCACCCCACCAGGTAAAAAACCACAACCTGCTGAGGTGCTTGCTGAAGGCAAAGGGAATACAGAATGGGTAGTAGAAGAAGGTAGTCATCAATACCAGCTACGACCATGTGACCACCTGCAGAACCGGGGACCGTAATTGTCATGAATATTTCCTTCTTGTGGTACGAACATGTTTGTGCATATATACACTTGTACTAAGAAAATATCTCCATTTTACTTTTCTTTTTTGCCTTTATCGTGATAGGACTTACTGACTTCATGTCAACATTTAAGTGTTGTTATCTCTATTTAATAGTATTTGGGTTGGGGACTGGTGTGTTTCCGGTTGTATGAAGGATAGCTGTATAATGTTAAGAGAATTATGACCTTATTATAGTCTTTATCTGAAGATTATGTACGATTTCAGGAGACGTGTATGCGTTTAAGTTGACAAGAGGTGGACTTGTGCTGGTTAATATTGTCAACTTGACTGGGTTGTGGTATTGTTCTGGGGTGTGTCTAAGAGGGTACTGCCAAAGGAGATTAACATTTGAATCAATGGACTGGGAAAGGCAGACCCATCCTCAATCTGCGCGGGCACAGTCTAATCAACTGCCAGCTTGGCCAGAATAAAAGCAGATAGAAGAACATGGAAAGTCTAGACTGGCTTAGCCTCTGAGCCTACATCTTTCTCCTGTGCTGGAGGCTTCCTGCCCTCGAACTCCAAGTGCTTGGGCTTTGGGATTCGGACTGGCTTCCTTGCTCCTCAGCTTGCAGGCAGCCTGTTGTGGAACCTCACCTTGTGATCATCTGAGTCAATATTCCTTAATAACTCCCATTTATATATACATCTATCCTATTAGCTCTGTCCCTCTGGAGAACACTGATTAATACAGCAGTTGAGTTGCATCTTCAGACAAGAACCAAGTGTCTGGCTTTGGTCTCAAAGAGACTGAATTAGGATCTTAGCTCTGCTAATTACTCAGCAGGAACCACTAGGCAAATTACTGATAATCTTTGTGCCTCAGTCTTCCTCTTCTGCTAAATGAAGCTAATAATATTTACTTCCTGGAGATGCAAACTAAAGTGAGATAACATTTAAATGCCTGAAAAGCCTCTGGCGCATGATAGGCAGTAAACAGTAGTGTCATTTCAAACAGCGTTCTAGGGTGGCTCACGCCTGTAATCCCAGCACTTTGGGAGGCTGAAGCGGGCAGATTGCCTGAGGTCAGGAGTTCAAGACCAGCCTGGCTAATATGGTGAAACCCGCCCCCCTACTAAAAATACAAAAATATTAGGCATGGTGGCATGTGCCTGTAATCCTAGCTACTCAGGAGGCTGGGGCAGCAGAATCACTTGAACCCAGGAGGCAGAGGTTGCAATAAAAGGAGATTCCTTCAAAACAAAAACTGGCTGGGCACGTCCTGGTTAACATGGTGAAACCCCGTCTCTACTGAAAATACAAACATCAGCTGGGTGTGGTGGCGTGCACCTGTAGTCCCAGCTGCTACTACTTGGGAGGCTGAGGCAGGAGAATCTCGTGAACCTGGAAGGCTGAGGTTGCAGTGAGCCGAGATTGCGCCACTGCACTCTAGCCAGATGACACAGCAAGACTCCATCAGAAAGAAAAGCAAATAAAGGAAAGAAAGGAAAAGAAAGAAGGAAGGAAGGAAAGAAAGGAAAAGAAAGAAGGAAGGAAGGAAGGAAAGAAGGAAAGAAAGAAAGAAGGAAACCAAAACAGCATTCTCAATGTATGACCCCCAAAACCCAGGGAGGATTTATTATTAAATTCTGATATCTCAAGAGACACATGCTAAATTTTTGTCTTATGAAGAAATGACATCTTTTGTTGCTACTTTTCTAGTAGCTTCCAGTTGAATTTCATTTGACTCAGAATTCATTTCTCATGGGGTGCTGTCCTGTGCATGTTACTAAAGTATGTGAACACAAAACACATCCCCTAAGACAAAATCCCTGATTTCTAACAGAGGCTAGCATTTAGCAAGTGAAATGCGACACAGATAGGGACTTGTAGAAAGCAGTGCTTGTGGGTGGTTTGTTTTTCTTCTCACATGTAAGGCAGGGAAATGTGGGTAATGGGAGACATTGCTGGTTGAGCATGAAAATAAAAAGGTATTCTAAATATTTAATCAGGGAAGATTCTGGGGTTTAAAGTAAATCTGAAAAGACAACGTGGGTATCTTGAGGGAGTACCAGGTGTGAAATTGAGAAAAAAAGCTAGGTAAAGAAAGCAGCGAGAAGTGCTCTCTTGTCTGGGCAGCAGAAGAGAAAGGAAATAAAAGTAGAAATTTGAAGAGCCATTGTTGAAGAGAACAATGAGAAGTGGGAAAAGGCAGATGATTAGTTTTCAGGGCATGGATTGAAAGTTCTTTTTCTTTTTTTGAGACGGAGTTTCGCTCTTGTTACCCAGGCTGGAGTGCAATGGCGCGATCTCGGCTCACCGCAACCTCCGCCTCCTGGGTTCAGGCAGTTCTTCTGCCTCAGCCTCCTGAGTAGCTGGGATTACAGGCACGTGCCACCATGCCCGTATAATTTTTTGTATTTTTAGTAGAGACGGGGTTTTCACCATGTTGACCAGGATGGTCTCATTCTCTTGGCCTCATGATCCACCTGCCTCAGCCTCCCAAAGTGCTGGGATTACAGGCTTGAGCCACCGCGCCCAGTCCTTCTTTTTTTTCTTCTTCTTCTTGAAACGGAGTCTTCTTCTGTTGCCCAGGCGGGAGTGCAATGGAGAGATCTCAAATCACTGCAACGTCTTCCAGGTTTAAGCAAGTCTCCCACCTCAGTCTCCCAAGTAGCTGGGATTACAAGCATACACCACCACACCCAGGTAATTTTGTTATTTTTAGTAGAGATGGGGTTTCAACATGTTGGTCAGGCCAGTCTTGAATTCCTGACTTCAAGTGACCCGCCTGCCTTGCCTTCCCCACGTGCTGGGATTATAGGCAGAGCCACAGGGCCCAGCCGGGATTGAAAGTTTGGAAGCAGGCTGGGTGCGGTTGCTCAGGCCTGTAATCCCAGAACTTTGGGAGGCTGAGGCAGGCAGATCACCTAAGGTAAAGAGTTCCAGACCAGTCCGGCTAACATGACAAAACCCCGTCTCTACTAAAATGCAAAAATTATCTGGGCCTGGTGGCAGGCACCTGTAATCCCAGCTACTCAGGAGACTGAGGCTGGAGAATTGCTTGAACCTGGAAGGTGCAGCCTGTAGTAAGCTGAAATTGAGCCACTTCACTCCAGCCTGGGCAATAAGAGCAAAACTATGTCTTAAAAAACTTTTTTTAAAAAGAAAATTTGGAAGCAAGGATACCAATGAATTTAAATCAACTCAGGAAACATGATCAAGAATCTAGCAGGAGAGGAGAATATGAACATTTTGATGACAGTATTGTTCGGGGGTGGGGCAGAAATGGCAGGAGTGCTTGCTGAAAGATTAAAAGTGAGAAAAAGAGCTGGGCGAGGAGGCTCACACCTGTAATCCCAGCACTTTGGGAGGCCAAACTGGGTGGATCACTTGAGGTCAGCCTGGCCAATATGGTGAAACCTCGTCTCTACCAAAAATACAAAAATTAGCCGGGCATGGTGATGCACACCTGTCATCCCACTACTCGGGAGGCTGAGGCAGGAGAATTTCTTAAACCCTGGAGGCAGAGGTTGCCGTGAGCCGAGATCGTGCCACAGCACTCCAGGCTGGGCCACAGAGCAAAACTCCATTTCAAACAACAACAACAACAACAAAACCTAATGCATACATGTTGAATGAATGAAATAATTAAAGCAAACCATCAGAGAAAACTCAGAAGTGACCTGTGAGGATAGCACTGCTTGGGGAGTGTCGCTAAGTAGGGCCAGCAGAAGAAAATCTTCCTGGCGAACCAGAAAATCTTCCCAGTCTCCTCAATATGAATTAACTACGTGAGCCAGACTGAAAAAAGTACTCACCTGTAAAGTGGAGATGACAATTTCAGTACGTACTGCATAGGATTCTGGTGATAATTAAATGAATTTACGCCTGAAAAAGGTCTAACAATAATAAATGTGTGTGTGTTTTTGTGAAACGGAGTCTCGCTCTAGGATTGCAAGTGTGAGCCACCGCACCCAGCCTAAATGTTTACTTTTTTTTTCCTTTTTTTTTTTAATGTTTACTATTATTATAACTGGACTCAGACTCAGAAACTCTGGGTTTGAGTCCTAGCTCTACTAATGACTGAATTCGTTTGGCTAATCCCTGCACCATCTTAGCCTCCTCCCCCGTCTGAAATTGTATACAAGAAAGCTGACTTTACAGGGCGGCTTTGAAAGAAGATACCTGAAAGGGTTTGAAAGACCGTAAGTATTGCACCAATGAATGGTATTATAGCCCCTTCCCCCCAGCCTATAAAAAAAAAACGTAAAAGCTGAGATCAGATTTTTGCCTGTAGTTAGCACTTTACAGGCACAATCCTGCAATGGTCAAAACAACTTTAAGAGGTTGGGCACTGTTATTATTCCCACTTTGCAGACAAAAAACGGTCAGGCTTGAGCCCAGGAGGTCGAGGCTGCAGTGAGCCATGTTCGTGGCACTGTCCTCCAGCCTGGGCGAGAGAGCGAGGCCCTGTCTCAAAAACAAAAAGAAAAAAATGATCTCAGTGAGATGAAGCCTGTAATTTGCTCAAAGTCACACAGTGATGTAAGCAGTATAGCAAATAATATAAAATTCCAAAGCCCAATTTAGTAAAAAGAGGATTACAGACGTGGTGGAACCTGTTGGCTGCGGAGCAAAAGACTGACCTTCTGTAACTGTCAGGGATTTATGGAGGCAAATGAGTCTCCAACAAAAATCCTCGTTTTGTGGGAGAGAGAAGATTATTGGGTAATGACTGATTTGTAGCTGGAAGAAATCATCGGATTTTTATTTTTCATTGAAGAAAAAAATGTTTAAATGCCTTCCATGTGCCAAGCACTGTGTCAGGTGGGAGATGACAGCTCCATGCAGCCTCTGTCGGGCTGTTTTCCTCCGCTTTCCCTACCCCTAGTTTTCCCCCTTCCCAAACAAGATTTTGTGGTTCGTGGCTTGTCCAGGCAAGCAGGCCGTTGGGGGCCTAGACGGTGAATCCCCCTCTCTTCCGGGCCGCTCTTCCCTTTTCTGGGCTGCAGGAGAGCAGGAACTCTGGGGCGAGATCCCGCCGCTTGACGCTCACTGCAGAAGCCGGGTCCCTGGACCTGTCTCTGCCCAACGCGGGGTCGCAACGGTCACGCCTCCTCACCCATCCCCGCCGGCTTCATGAACAATGTCGGCCGCCGCCCCTCCCACCTTTGGCGTCACATTCAAAACAATCCTTTGACTGCAACTCCCAGAAGGCCGAGCGGCTGAGAGAGGGCACCCGCTCTCGGTTGTTCCGGAAAACTACACGTCCCAAGGGGCAGCGCGCTATCGCGTGTCCTTTCACAGCGCGAGTGCGGAACTGCGTTTGTTTCCGGCGTGGGTACGGACAAGAACCGCTTGTAGTTTGGTTTAAGTTCTGCACGGGAGGACCTTCTGGGTTTACCTGTTGGGCTCCTGGCTGTGCAGGTGAGTTTAAAAAGGGCAGGAACGCAACTGTCGCCTTCTTGGAGTCTAAGGAGGTTTTGGTGTCTGGGGAGGTTGGGACAAATGCTGAACCTAGAGCTGCGGTCCAGGATCAGAAATAATTCGTATCATTTCCTTGTCGTTTTCTAGTTTACGAAGTGCTTTTTTTCCTCCCACAATTCCTATAAACCCCAAGAACACAGTACTTGAGGAATTGTGCTTCCAGTCGACAGCTTCAGAGGTTCAAAGAAGTTAAGTGAGTCTCTAAAGATACTACTAGTAGTTGCAGAATCGAGGCTTATGCTGTTTTCTGCGTTCAAACCTGATGTCCTCTGCTTTGCATCCGTATTGCAGACACCCTTTCCTGTTGACTAAGATGGATGGGGTGTGGGCATCTGTTATATTCTTAAGTCAGGCGTTTACCAATAGAGTGATGGAGGGGGTAAGGTCTTACATTCTGGGGTGGGGGCGGGGAAAACACAATATATAGTGAGACAGATGGTGATAAGAGATATGGAGAGAATTAAAGCAAGGTAAGGGGAAATATTCATTGCCTGGTTTGTTTGGTTTTTTGGTTTGTTTCCTTTTTTTTTTTGACACAGAGTCCCGCTCTGTTGCCCAGGCGGGAGTGCAGTGGTGAGATACCGGGTCACTACAACCCTGTAACCTCCGCCTCCTGGGTTTAAGCGATTCTCCTGCCTCAGCCTCCCAAGTAACTGGGACTACAGGTGCCTGCCACCATGGCTGGCTAACTTTTGTATTTTTTAGTAAAAACGAGATTTCGCCATGTTGGCCAAGCTGGTCTCGAACTCCTGACCCCAAGTGATCCACCCGCTTTGGCCTCCCAAAGTGCTGGGATTACAGGGGTGAGCCATTTTTTGCCAGACCTGGCCACTTTTTACCTTTTTTGTAGAGACGGGGTTTTACCATATTGCCCAGGCTGGTCTTGTACTGGTGATCTCAAGGGATCCACCCAACTCAGCCTCCCAAAGTGCTAGGATTACAGGCCTGAGACACTGTGCCCGGCCCATTGGATGATTTATTTATTTTTTTTTGAGACAGAGTCTTGCTCTGTTGCCCAGCCTGCAGTGCAGTGGAACAATCTCGGCTCACTGCAACCTCTGCCTCCTGGGTTCAAGCGATTCTTCTGCCTTGGCTTCCCAAAGAGCTGGGATTACAGGCACCCACCACCATGCCTGGCTAATTAAAAAAAAATTTTTTTTTAAATTTTTAGTAGAGACGGGGTTTCACCATGTTGGCCAGGCTAGTCTTGAACTCCCGACCTTAAGTGATCCAGCCACCTTGGCTTCCCAAAGTGCTGGGATTACAGGCATGAGCCACCACACCTGGCCACATTGGATGATTTTTAATAGAGGACTCACTTATAATTAGGTCTGATACTTAATTTGTGTTCTAGGTGCAGCAGCTACACGGAAGAGATGGGGGAAGAGGCTAATGATGACAAGAAGCCAACCACTAAATTCGAACTAGAGCGAGAAACAGAACTTCGCTTTGAGGTGGAGGCATCTCAGTCAGTTCAGTTGGAGTTGTTGACTGGCATGGCAGAGATCTTTGGCACAGAGCTGACCCGAAACAAGAAATTCACCTTTGATGCTGGTGCCAAGGTGGCTGTTTTCACTTGGCATGGCTGTTCTGTGCAACTGAGCGGCCGCACTGAGGTGGCTTATGTCTCCAAGGACACTCCTATGCTGCTTTACCTTAACACTCACACAGCCTTGGAACAGATGCGGAGGCAAGCAGAAAAGGAAGAAGAGAGAGGCCCCCGAGTGATGGTAGTGGGCCCCACTGATGTGGGCAAGTCTACAGTGTGTCGCCTTCTGCTCAACTATGCAGTGCGTTTGGGCCGCCGTCCCACTTATGTGGAGCTGGATGTGGGCCAGGGTTCCGTGTCCATCCCTGGTACCATGGGGGCCCTCTACATTGAGCGGCCTGCAGATGTGGAAGAGGGTTTCTCTATCCAGGCTCCTCTTGTGTATCATTTTGGTTCCACCACTCCTGGCACCAACATCAAGCTTTATAATAAGGTCAGAGCCAGAGAAAGGTCGGGTGGAGAGAAGGGTTGTTATCAGCGTAGGAAACTGTGGGGAAGTTTATTAGTTAAAGCTATATTTTCTCAGCTGTTGTTTCTGCTGCATTCTTTCAGAAAAGGCAGTTCCAAATATAAGTCAGTCTCAGATTGTTAAACATTTCTGTGGATCTATTCTTTGTAATTTGTTAGATTTCCACCTAGGGTGTAAAACAGGAGGCAGAAGTAGCAACATAAAAATTAAATCCATATTATGGGGTCAAAACTACAAACATTGGAAATGTCATTTTTCAAGCTGGGTGCAGTAGCTCATGCCTGTAATCCCAGCACTTTGGGAGGCCGAGACTGGTCAATCACCTGAGGTCAGGAGTTCGAGATCAGCCTGGCCAACATGGGGAACCCTCATCTCTTACTAAAAATACAAAAATAGCTGGGCGTGGTGGCAGATGCCTGTAATCCTAGCTACGCGGGAGGCTGAGGTCAGAGAATCATTTGAACCCATGAGGCAGAGGTTGCCGTGAGCCGAGATTGTGCCACTGCACTCCAGCCTGGGCAACAGAGTGAGACTTCTTTTTAAAAAAAAAAAAAAAAAAAAATCATTTTTCTTATGTCTAATAGCACTTATTCTAAAGAGGAACAAAGTAGCCATGGGTTTTTCTGGGTGTTTTTGTTCTTACCTGGATCTTCTCTTTTGCAGATTACATCTCGTTTAGCAGATGTGTTCAACCAAAGGTGTGAAGTGAACAGAAGGGCATCTGTGAGTGGCTGTGTCATTAATACCTGTGGCTGGGTCAAGGGCTCTGGTTATCAGGCTCTGGTGCATGCAGCCTCAGCTTTTGAGGTGGATGTCGTTGTAGTTCTGGATCAAGAACGACTGTACAATGAACTGAAACGGGACCTCCCCCACTTTGTACGCACTGTGCTGCTCCCTAAATCTGGGGGTGTGGTGGAACGCTCCAAGGACTTCCGGCGGGAATGTAGGGATGAGCGTATCCGTGAGTATTTTTATGGATTTCGAGGCTGTTTCTATCCCCATGCTTTCAATGTGAAATTTTCAGATGTGAAAATCTACAAAGTTGGGGCACCCACCATCCCAGACTCCTGTTTACCTTTGGGCATGTCTCAGGAGGATAATCAGCTTAAGCTAGTACCTGTCACTCCTGGCCGAGATATGGTGCACCACCTACTGAGTGTCAGCACTGCTGAGGGGACAGAGGAGAACCTGTCTGAGACAAGTGTAGCTGGCTTCATTGTGGTGACCAGTGTGGACCTGGAGCATCAGGTGTTTACTGTTCTGTCTCCAGCCCCCCGCCCACTGCCTAAGAATTTCCTTCTCATCATGGACATCCGCTTCATGGATCTAAAGTAGAGATCAGCAGGAAGCCTTGCTGCCTGGGACTTAGAGATCTGGCCATCCTAGAGGCAGATGAGCTGAGAGACTCTTTTGGGGCCACCTGACCAGTAAACTGTGGACTAGTAGAAAGTATATATTCTACCTCTAAAAACAGGTAGTGGTAACCTGACTCTTCTATTCTTGAACCAAAAGGAAAACCATGAGACTGTAATTGGTTTCTTAGCCTAAGATACCACTTTGAATTCTCCAAGACCCTGGAGAATTACATTTCTTTCACTGTGTTACTATGTGGTTTTTAAACATCACTGCTTTCTATTCCACATATGGTACTTACTCATTTATCTAAAATGAAAGTGTGAATTAGAGGGACTCTTTCCAATAAAGTTCAAACTTAGAAAAATTAATATATATTTTTGCCATATCATAGAAGTTGGTGTAATGTATTTTTTTCCCCTAAGCATTATAGAAACATTGTTGGAATGATTTATTGCTAAAATGCTTAGAGGAGGGCAAAACCAAGAAACCTACCTGTGAGCCAAGTGAGTTCTTAATGATAGTTACCCTTGCCTCTGCGCTTAGGTAAATGGTAAATCTGCTGTCAGTGCTGGATTTACTATGGGGAGTTAGAAGCTGGTGATAATCTTGGAATAAGATTTCATATCTAATTATTTTCCAGAGATAGCTCATTTCCTCTCCAGTACAGCTATCCTTCTTGTCTATTTGATTGGAACTAGGCCCTAAGTCAAGGTGTAACTTGAGCTTTCAGGTGGTAAGAAGCTGGGAAAGCCCATTCTTTTTGATCTCTTGCAAATTAGTTTGGTGTCCCTGGTTTGGACTTGAATTACTTAATAAGTATCTGATGCTGTCCATCGATTCCTTCTTTCCATAAATATTTGCTGAGGACCTACTGTTTGTCAGGAAAAACGTTTTATGGAGCTTACATTATAGAATAAATTTAAAAAGGCAAGTGCTATAGAGAGGCTTCAATTTGGGGGATTTAAGACAGAGTGAATGGAGGCTACTTTGAGTGGTTAGGAAACGCCCTTCCTGAGCACACATTTTGGGCTAAGACTTGAATGGCTGTGTGAAGTCTGGGGCAAAACCTTCCTGGTGAAAAAAACCCTAATAAAGGAACAAGCTTGATGAGTTTGGTGAAGAGAAAATCCAGTATGGTTGAAGCATAGTGAACTAAGGGAGACTAAAACAGAGGATGGAGAGGGCAGCAAGGACCGGATAATGTAGGGCTTTTGTAACTCAGGGTGAAGAATGGAATTTTTGGCCTAGGTGCAGTGGGTGGCGGCCATGCCTGTAACCCCAGCCACTCGGGAGGCCAAGAATCCCTTGAACCTGAGAGATGGAGGTTGCAGTAAGCTGAGATTGCATCACTGCACTCCATTCTAGGTGACAGAACGACACTGTGTCTCAGTCCTTTTTTTTCTGAGATGGGGGTCTCAGCCGAGTGTGGTGGCTCATGTCTGTGATCCCAGCATTTTGGGAGGCCGAGGTGGGTGGATCACTTGAGATCAGGAGTTCAAGACCAGCCTGACCAACATGGTAAAACCCCGTCTCTACTAAAAATACAAAAATTAGCTGGGTGTGGTGGTGTGCACCTGTGGTCCCAGCTACTTGGGAGGCTGAGGCACGAGAATTGCTTGAACCTGGGAGGTGGAGGTTGCAGTGAGCTGTGATCGCACCACCGCATATCCAGCCTGGGTGACAGAGCAAGCCTCCATCTTAAAAAAAAAAAAAAAAAAAAAAAAAGGCTGAGTTGGGTGGCTCATGCCTTAATCTCAGCACTTTTGGAGGCCGAGAGGGGCAGATCACTTGAGGTCAGGAGTTCAAGACCAGCATGACCAACGTGGTAAAACCCCATCTCTGCTAAAAATACAAAAATTAACCAGGTGTGGTGGCTGGCACCTTTAATCCCAGCTATTCCAGAGGCTGAGGCAGGAGAATTGCTTGAACCCAGGAGGAAGAGGTTGAAGTGATCTAGGTTGTGCCACTGCACTCCAGCCTGGGTGACAAGAATGAACCCGTTTCAACAAAAACGAACAAACATACATAAAAAGATTGTTGGTTGGTTTGTTGCTGAAAGGCAGGGCATTCCTCTCTGATTGCTTCTAAACAAACCCTAGGCAGCATTTTGTTCTTGTTTGCATGTTTATTTACTAGTGAGTTGAACTAAAAATGACACAGTGGTTTGCCATCTATAGGCGTGAGAAAATGCAAAAGTGAAGACAATTGGAAGAAGTGCAGATAAGCTACACTAGAAAAACTATAAAGGGCCAGGTGCAGTGGCTCATGCCTGTAATTCTAGCACTTTGGAAGACTGAGGTAGGAGGATTGCTTTAACCTAGCAGTTTGAAACCAGCCTGGGCAATATATAGTGAGACCTCAACTAAACAAAAATCTTAAAAAATTAGCAAACCATGGTGGCATATGCACCTGTAGTCCCAGCTACTCACGAAGCTGAGGTTGAGGCCATTTTTTTTTGGAAAGTAACTCTGGCTATTACATAATGGCCAGAGGATTGCTTGAGAATGGAAGTGGGAGGTTGCAGTCAGCTGAGATAGCTCCACTGCACTCCAGCCTGGATGACAGTGCCAGACTCTGTCTCAAAAAAGAAAAACAAAACAGGCTGGCTGTGGTGGCTTATGCTGGTATTTCCAGCATTTTGGGAGACCAAAGCAGGTGGATCATCTGAGGTCAGGAGTTTGAGACCAGCCTGGCCAACATGACAAAACCCTGTCTCTACTAAAAATACAAAAATTAGCTGTGTGTGGTGATGCGTGCCTATAATCCCAGCTACTCGGGAGGCTGAGGAAGGAGAATCACTTGAGCCCAGGTTGCAGTGAGCCAAGATCACACCACTGCACTCCAGCCTGGATGACACAGGGAGACTCTGTCACTAAAACAAAACAAAACAAAACAAACCACCAACAAAAAACAAAACAAAAAACCTCTAAGGTATTAATCGATAAACATATTAAAGTAATTTGAACTTTGGGTGGTCTGGATATCCCACTGTTTTAGCCAGATTTTACTTTGGATACTTTTCAGAAGTAGCTGGCACTTCAAACCTTATGTTCTATTAAATGTTCTTTCCAAGAAATACTTCAAGTGATCCCAAGGAAAACTGGACCAGTGGAATCTCTCTCTCCACTTCGGGATAGTGATTATACCTCTGTTAGTGTTCATCCACCTGGCAATCAAGCTAGTATCTCAGGATAGTTTGCTTGGTTGGATGGTGGAAGACTGATTTTTTTTCCCCATTTAGCACTTTAGCCAAGAGACACCATTGTTTACGAGTTATTAGACAGCTGAAAGGAAAATTAAAATGCCTAATTTGTGAAGTGGAGGAAATCAGGAAGTCCTAAAATCAAAGAAAAATATGGAACAGAAAAATGAAATCTGACTTCATCTTAAAGAAACATGATTTACAGACAGAAAATGCCAATATCAGGCTGGGCACCGTGGCTCATGCCTGTAATTCCAGCACTTTGGGAGGTCGAGGCAGGAGGATCATTTGAGATCAGGAGTTCCAGACCTCTCTGGCCAACATGGCGAAACCCCATCTCTACTAAAAATACAAAAATTAGCCAGGTGCAATGGTGCACGCCTGTGATCTCAACTACTTGGGAAGCTGAGGCATGAGAATTGCTTGAACCTGTGAGAAGGAGGTTGCCTGAGCTGAGAACCAGCTACTGCACTCCAGCATGGGTGACAGAGCAAGACTCTCTCTCAAAAAATAAAATCCCAATATTGTATCGTCAATAATGCCTTACATTTACCTTTCACATGGTCTAAAGAGGTGTTTTGTCTTTTTTTGATGGAGTCTTTTTCTGTTGCCCAGGCCAGAGTGCAGTGGCAAAATTTTGGCTCACTGCAACCTCTGCCTCCTGGGTTCAAGCGATTCTCCCGCCTCGCCTCCCAAGTAGCTACAATTACCGGCACCTGCCACCACGCCCCGCTAATTTTTGTATTTTTAGTAGAGATGGGGTTTCACCATGTTGGCCAAGCTGGTCTCGAACTCCTAACCTCGTGATCTGCCTGCCTCGGTCTCCCAAAGTGCTAGGATTACAGACGTTAGCCACCGCGCCTGGCCAAATCTAAAGAGTTTTAAAAATAGAGTCGTGCCGGGCGCGCTGGCGCGTGCCTGTAGTCCCAGCTACTTGGGAGGCGGAGGTGGGAGGATCGCTTGAGCCCGGGAGTTCTGGGCTGTAGTGTGCTATGCCGATAGGGTGTCTGCACTAAGTTCGGCATCAATATGGTGACCTCTCGGGAGCCGGGGGTCGCCAGGTTGCCTAAGGGGGGCGGAAACGGAGCAGGTCAAAACTCCCGTGCTGATCAGTAGTGGGATCGCGCCTGTGAATAGCCACTGCACTCCAGCCTGGGCAACATAGTGAGACCCTGTCTCTTTAAAACAAAAATACAAAGTCGTTATAAAGAACTCTCAAGTGTGTTGCAATAAATGCTGGATTAATGACGTTAACAAGAATAAACGCCGGACGCGGTGGCTCACACCTATAATCCCAGCACTTTGGGAGGCCGAGGCGGGTGGATCGGAAGGTCAAGAGATCGAGACCATCCTGGTCAACAAGGTGAAACCCCGTCTCTACTAAAAATACAAAAATTAGCTAGGCATGGTGGCGCGTGCCTGTAGTCCCAGCTACTCGGGAGGCTGAGGCAGGAGAATTGCTTGAACCCAGGAGGCGGAGGTTGCGGTGAGCCGAGATCATGCCATTGCAGTCCAGTCTGGGTAACAACGGCGAAACTCCACCTCAAAAACAAAAACAGAAAACAAGAATAAACTAGAACTGATAATATACGCCATGTATAGGAAGGAACTAGACTAGACTCCAGAAAACTGGCGAATTTAGTTCTCCTTTACCTTGCTGTCTAATGCTAAAGTGCCAGAACCACAGTAATGCAAGCAACATTTGAGACCAAACCCGAGAACAAGGCCCAGGATTTTACAGGTGAAGGGCTTCGGCTTCAGGGAAGTGGCTCCTTAAACACCTTTTTGAGGGGCCTTTATGTAATAGCCAGTTACTTCCCAAAAAAGAAATGGCCTCGAGCTGAATGGGGAGAGAACACGTGGCATTGCTATTGCGTTCACAGCTGTCTTGGGCTAATTAGGGCAAAGTGTAGCACAGTGACCTAAGCATTGTTAGATCGCTGGGGACAGGAGCTATTCTAGAGAACTTTTTGCTTTTAACTTTGTATTCTCGGATTGGGTGAGGTGAGGGATGCGGGCGCCCATCCCAGTTGTGGGAGTGGGAAACTAATGGAATGAAGGGAATCCACTTCCCAGCTCGCACTCCGGAGGTGGAGGGGTCGCCACCGCCTCAAGTCGCGCGTTCCTAAGGCTTCCCTCTCACGGTTAGAGCTACGGCTCTTCTTC